AAAAAAAACAATATCGAAAATACAATCCAGTTATTGCTACTGATCGATAGAGTCATTCCTTGTTTAGGTCTACTTGAAATAAAAATGCTTGCAATACCTGAAGTTCTACTGCTTTGCTTAAAGCCAAACTGCTTTGTCATTGTAATTCTGAGTTCATTAACTCAATGGGTAGTGATCAAATACTAAAAAGGAGTATATAGCTTCGTTTTTTTATGATTTAATTACAACAAAGTGAGGAGGGTTTGTATGTATACCTTGTAAAAATTTAAGAGGAAGAACTGATGATAAAATTACGATCTGCTACATCAATTCAATTATTTAGCAAACACTCAAACACCTGCTCTTCACAGATGAACAAAAACGTGAGTGAACTCAACTGTTCCCAGTTAAATAAACTGTTAGTTTATTTACAGAAAATTTGGCCTCAAATTTTCAAAGTCTGGCCTCAGACTTGTCAGCTGAGGCTAGAGGTCTACGTTGTGTTACTGAAGGCAAAATGTAGCCATTTTATTTTTCACGCTAATTTTACTCACTTTCTTCTGAGGAGTTTGAGTGATTACAAAAAAAACAAACTCCGTTCATGAGACATTAATTTTCAAACCATGATATTCATGACCCTTATGTTTGGAAGGGGCAGAGTCACTGTGTATTTCTGTGCCAAACATATTTAGGTCTAAAGGGCAAACAACCCAGCAAGGAAGAAACATTTGCCAACCAGAAGCCACAGCATTTTTTGATGGGTGGTTTTAAATTATAAAAATAAACCAAACTCCTTAAGAATAGCATCCTCTGTGACAGGATTCAGACTCTCTCTTTGTGGAACCCAAACAGCTGACCATTTGGCCTTAGACTACACAGAGACTCTTTGATTATTTATAAGCAATATACATATCTCCTGAAGCAGAAATTCCAGTCTGAGAAAGTGGCTGACACGTTCATCACGGCAGCCCTGCAAAGCCCAAAGGACTTGGGTCTTCTTGGGATTTTCATTTCACCCTTCCATGTGTTGGTGACATTGAAACATTTTAATTTAATTTTACTTGATATTTTACATAAAAATTATGCAAAATATAAAAGGTTAGCAGATGTTAGCTTTGTGTATTATTGGTATTTATTAACACCTACTTAAAGATAAAAGTTTCATAGAATGCACATATATGGATATGTTTATGTTAGATTATATTTATTGTGTGTGTATTTTATGCCTAGAGTTTTATAACAAATATAGGCTATATAAAAGTGTCTTTCTCAGATAAATTAGACTGAATTCATGGAGCAGCGCTGAGACCAGAACAGGCTTAACTAAGGCTTCGAGCACATTTCAAGAACCAGTCACGATGAAAGCAGTATAAGAAAAAAATTGTAGTGTAATATTAAATTTCCCTTCCTATCTTCTGAGGTGTTTATTGATCCAGCTACATAAACTACTTGAAGGAAAGTTGAAAGTCTGCTTTCTCAAAAAGCATGTTGGTGTGAGATCTTAGATACCACACTTGAACTTAAAGCTCTAGTTTGCTTTTTTGCAAAATGTCCAAGTGTGTTTTGGAAGTCACATAAGAAACAAAAACTAATTTTCTTGAAGGTGCATACTGGTCATCACCCTGAAGACAAGCAATACTTTCTTAAATTGTGCTTTGTTAAAGTTGACTTGTAGCTCCTTAATAAATCAGCAAGACACAGATCGGACTCCCTGAAAAATCTCAGAGTCAAACATCAAATGTATAAACTGCAAAATACGATTAAAAACTCAACGTTCAGATCTAGGAAAAAAAATTTCAAACCCTTAGTTACTAAAGAATTGAGATTTACCCCAGTCATTTCTCAGTTCTGTGCACAAAAACTTTCCAATCATTTTGCTATTGACTATGAAATAGCAACACAATAAAACAATCTTATCTAGTCTTCTTCATTCACACAAATGGAGCAAAAGCAGCCAACAAAATGACTTGGTATGAAATAGCTTCAAGTTCTACATAATTTTTAAGTTAGAATATCTGGAGTTTGGGAGTTAAGACATGAATGCCGTGATGGAAAAATAAGATTTACGCTGGGTAGCTAATGGGAAACTTAGAAGAATGAATTACCTTGTCCCTAAAACCAAATGTGGCTGCCTGTCCTTAGACCTTTTTAGACATAGCTTGTGAACTCGTCAAACTTCTGTCTTCAGTTTTCTTACATGAGTGCTCAAGAAATGTTTGTTGAATGAGTGAGTGAATGAGTAAGACATTGA